CCCGATCCAGATGCCTACGGAGATCGTCAGTCAAGGCGACCAGCACAGTCTCCGTCCCATGACCAGGGCGAAAGCCGGACTGGTAGGGATCGAGGATGGAAGCATCCTCCAGAAAACTCTGAAGCTGTAACGCCACCGCCCTCTCAATAAGCTTGCCCAAATAGGGCAAGTTAGACACCGGCCAATAGTTAGCCAATTCGGTCGGGTCTAGAGATGGTTTTTTCAGGAGAGGGCGGACCATCGCTTCCTTGAGTGCCTTGGGGAATTGTCCCTTTGTGAGGGACAAGTTAATAATCTCCTGCAGGGCACCTCGGAACCCCTCGTGGCCAGCTTTAATAAGCCAGGAGGGGCACGGATCAAGGTCGCATGTAGTTGGGCGCACAGCTACGAGTAATCTGTCAACTTCCTCCAGACTGAGTCGGTTAAAACGTACTAAACCCGGCTCCAAAGACGTGCAAGGGGCCTCAAGTTCACTCACTGTCTCAAGTGTGGCGGGGGGGTCACGACGGAGCATCGAGACTTTATCTGCAAAATAGCTCGCAAATGCCTCACAGCCTATCTCCAATTCCCTACTGTTTTGACTGCCACGAGGCAGAGTTGTCAAAGACCGAATTGTACTAAATAATTGTGCCGGGCGTGAGCTAGCAGATGCAATTGTAGCCGCATAGAACTCTCTCTTTGCGGCTTTGACTGCCATCTCATATGAATGGGTGGTTCAAGTTCTCCCCCCTTTACCCAAGCAGGAAATAGAAATTTCAAGGACTTTAGACTAAAGAGGCTCCAGGAATAACTCCAGGAAGAAGCTGAAGGACATGCTTCTCTGACCTGGCCTGACCTGGCCAGTGGGTGAGGAAAAGAGAGGTGATAAAAGTCAGGAGCAGGGAGGAAGGTCTTTTTGGTCCATATGGAGTCCAGGAGAGCAGACTGAACTCTTAATTGAGGAGGCAGTCATTTTGAACATGTGCTGCCCCAGAGAGCTACAGAAAGCTTCAAGGTAATGATAACTCTGTAGAGATCGGTAGCTTCCTAAGCTTTAGGAGCTTGTCCTATTTTAACATCTGATAGGGCATGTATAGAAACAGGGACAGAGGATTTGCGTTCTACCCATTTCTTTTGGATTCCCTTGCTCAATCTGGTGCTGTGCTAAAAGTATGTTTGTGAACATGTTCTTTTTAATAAATACTTTATAACATAAGATGCTGGCAGTAGTTCTCTGTACCACATAGACCTCCACCATCTCAGACACGCTATTTTAAATGGCGCGCCAGTGGGAAGGCAGGCAGTTGACAAGTGGCTATTCCTCCAAGGGTGTGCAAGGCAGTAAACTGTCCCCATGGTGACCAGGCACTGGTGAGTGGGAGATACAGAGGCAAGACCTCAGATCTTGGAAGGTAAGCTGGGAGTCTTGACCCTCCCAGTGGGCAATTCCTTACCAAGGCCAGGTGTGGTGGTGGGTTACCGGAGAGAGAGTAAATCCTCTCCAGGAGTTGAGAAAAGCTTGGAGAGAAGGTTGGAACAGGGCCTGCAGGCCAGAGAAGGCCCGTTCTGTGTCAGTTTGGTGTCACTCACAGTGGAATAAGGACAAACAGAGAACTTGGTTGGCCAGGGATTGTAAATTTGACACACACGCACAGAGAGAGCAACGGAAGTTTTTTCCGGGTTGACTAGAGTAGAATCAGATCAGTCTAGCTAGGATGGAGTTAGCACAGCAAGTGAGAATTCTTAAGCTGATAAAGCAAGAGCTGCAGGAAGAATGCCAGAAGTAGCAGATAGTGAAAGCAGGACTGCTGATGGGATGAAGGCTCTCTTGCGAAGCTGCGGAAAGTCAATAGGGGCGGCTGCAGCTGAACGCCCAAGCCAGCAGGATAAACTCTGGCTCAAGGAGATGGAGAAGTTGCATTTGCAGGCAGAAAAGGAAATAGAGGTCCAGAAACTGAAGATGTGGGAGGAGCAGCAGAAGGAAGAGATGAAAGCCCACAGGCTTGAGAGGGAGGAAAAGCTGCAGGAGAGAAGGGAGAAGCAGAGCAGCGAGAGGCACAGCAAAGGTTGCAGGAGGAGCAACGAAGGATGCAGGAAGAGCAGCAAAAACACAACCTCGAGATGATGCACCTGCAGGCCAAGCAAAGCAGGAAAATAAAAGTTACCTGCAAAGATTTTGTTCCACATAAGGAGAGGGAAGACCCCTCAGTATATTTTGCATCTTTTGAGAAAGCAGCTGTGCAGTGGGAGATTAAAGAGGTGGGCTACATGTCCTACCTCTGTAGCATCCTAACTGGGGAGCTAGTTGCTATCTACTAACAGCATGCCCAAGAGGGAGGGGGGAGTAACTTTAAAAATTTCAAAGCCAGAGGGTTGTTTTAGTATTTTGTGTGTGTGAGAGAGAGAGAGAGCGTCTGTGTGCATTTGTGCTTGCGTGCCTGGAAGTCATGGTGACTTATGGCAACCCCCAGTGGGGCTAGGACTAGGGGTGTGCATTTGGCTATAGTCGAACCAAAAGATAATCAGAGATCTGTATTCGGCTACCAGTAGAGCTGAACACGAAAAAGCCAATATTATCCGGCTTTTTTGGGGGGTTCTTTTTGCTATACCGAAAAAAAGGACTCAATTAAACCGAACAACCTGAGCTGCCAGTCAGCTGTTGGTTTTAAATGCCTTTCCCTCCCAAAGATCGGGGAGGGAAAGAAGCATTTTAAACATGCCTGGGTTCCCCTCTTGATCTTCTCCAGGTGCCCTGCAGTTGCAGGGCACCTGGAGAAGATCAGGAGGGGATGCCTGCCCTCTTCCCCCAGCCTGCCCACCACAGCGGACAGGCTGGGAAAGGGAAGGGCAGGCCATGTACACACATGCCCCCTTTGTTCCCTGAGCCTCTCCGCTTTTGCAGAGAGACTCGGGGAAGTGCAGGGGGCATGTTTAAATGCCTTTCTTTCCCTCCCCAAGATCAAGGAGGGAAAGAAAGACATTTTAAACATGCCTGGGTTCCCCTCCTGATCTTCTCTAGCTAAGAGGTGTCAGCTAGAGAAGGGAAGGCAGAGAGAAGCTTTCCCTTGTCAATTTCACTCTCAGCTGATTAGCGGGGAGTGAAATTGACAGGGAAATCTGTAGGGGCTACCAGTGGGAAAGAAGGCATTTTCCCTCTGGTGGTGTAAATCAGTCCCAAATATGTTTGGGAATACCTAATATTTCCCCAGTCTGTGGAGTCAGGGTTACATCATGTGCTGTAAGGCTGGATTGCAGCCATAACCATGCTCTTAAATTCTGGCCATGCACTGTCCAGGAAATATTTTTTATAGGTAATCACCCTAAGTCGGAAGTGACTTGACGGCACTTAACATACACATCTATCATGCTCTGGAAAATGTCTATAGCGAAAGAAAACATTTAAATTCAAGATCAACTCCTACACAACCTTTCCTCAAAGTCTTTTGCAAACTAGGGGATATGTGTTGTTCTTTAGTAACAGCAGAATAAACAAGGTGTCAATTCAATTAATTAAGGCCATATGAGCTTGGAAGTCTCCACCTTACCAGACCCTCATTCTGCAAACCTCCAAGCACTACTTGAGCCATTTTGATTCACTATTGCTTTGCCTATAAAAGCACTGTGCATGGTTTGTTTTTAAAGTGTATATCTCATCTCTAATAGAAGGTGGCTATTTATACAATATATATAAATATAAGAATATAACCAAAACCAAGGCAATAGCCCACAAAGCCTACATAACAGACCAACTAATAGCAGCCTGCTCTATACAGTGGAGATACGTAACCATTGGCATCCAATGCAGAAAGCCTACTGAAACGGGTGGCATTACAAAGGTTCTGCAATATTATTGGAGACCGTGCCCTTTGCCGTTCTTCAGGAAGACTATTCCACAGCACCCAACTGCCTTGAGCTGCCGGTTGGTGTGAATGGTGAATTGAGAACAAGTGCACCTGCAAGGTGTTGAGCTGAGCTCACTCAGGTGGTAGATAGATGCAAGTTAGCTTGTCCTCCATTAATATAGCTTAGAGATGTATTTAGGGCATTTGTTTTAAGATGTTTTAATATTGAAGTTCTTGATTGCACAATGCCTTCTGTGCCTCCCTGGCCCCCATCTCCAAAGAACGACAGATCAAGTGGATAGACTTGCTTCTGAGACTGGACCCCTCCAGCTTCCACACATTGACTGCAAAGAATTACACTTTATTTCTCCATATATCCTGCGAAAAACACGGTACTAGGTCATTCATGCAGCTTCCATCATGCAAAAGTCAATTTATTTTATGTAAAGGAGCCCTGAGCTCAGGGTAACCTGATCTCATCTGACCTCAGAAGTTATGCAAGGCTAGTACTTGAATGGGAGATCTCCAAGAAATACCCGGAGACTGGCAATGGCAAACTACTTCTGAACATCTCTTGCCTTGAAAACTCTTAGGGGTTGTCGTGAGTCAGCTGTGACTTGACAAGGCTTTGCAGCACCAAAGGAGCCCTGAACAAAATGGTCAGGTTCCATTCTATGTCTTCAGTGGCACAGGAATATTCAAAGGAACTCCTAAAACAGGGATGAAATCCATTCCTGTTCTCGAGGGGAAAAGTTAACAATGATAAAAGCTGTGATCTGTGAACAAGAGAAACAGTTGGAAGTACTGTCATGTAACTGATTTGTAGCTCATACAAAGCATAATGATGAATATGCGCGACAAGGGATAGTACAAGCTGAAACGTGACGGCTCTTATTCTTGGAAGTTAAAATCACACAACCGGGGAAAATAATTTTTAATAATAGATAACACTCAACAGCGAATTAGTAAATTAAACTGCCCAATATAGCCGCGAGACAATCTCTGAGTACAGAGCTCGATACCACCACCAGATGTCGCTGTGCCACCAACGCCCGTCGCAACTACTTCGCCCTGTGCTGTTATATTGGCGCATACCGCCGGAGCTGACGTATTGGGGTCCTGCGTGTCATCATACCGCGGGAGTTATTATAACAGCAGTCAGAATTACCTTAACGAGGTATTTCCTGTATAGGATTTAATGTTTTATTCTATTTAGACATTAAGTAGGCTCAACCAACTGAATCACCTGTCTTTCCATCTGCGTGCTTGGAAAAGAGCTGACCTGCCAGGACCTGACGGTGACGTCCCATCAGCCTCTGCGGCTTCCGTTGTCTCTCTTTCTCTCGGCGCTCCCGGTCTGGTCGGGTGCCGCCATTAGCCGACTGGTAAGTTCGTGATCCTGTGCCATCCTGCCCGGCGGGTCCCCTGGGATGGCCCTGAACCCCCTTTCGGGGGCGCTGGCAGGCCCTCTGCGTTAGGGCCGGCCACTATTTTTAGGAGCGTTGGAGAAGGGAGCGTACTGCTGAAGCTAACCGGTGCTTAGGGGCTTCCCTTCATCGCCTGTGCCGCAAGTCAAGTCAGCAGATGAGCCTGCTAATCTTTCCTTTCTCCAAAGGAGGTTTTTTGGGGGTTTTTTTGGATGGTGGGGGTTATACACGTGTAGTCTGAATGTGTGAGTGCAAGCAAGAGAGAAGAGGCAGGACATGAGGGAGGGCCTGTCAGTCTTTCGGGAGAATAAAATACAATGAAGTTTGGAGTGTTTTTGTAGAACATTTCCGTAGGTATTTAACTTGAAATAGCCAAGCATTCGCTGCTGGAATGCTGTGTGAGAAAAATGATTAACGTTATAAGTAAGTTCCTCGCTGATACTGCCATTTGCACGAGTTTCCAGCGCAGGGAGCTCTGACGTTTTTCTTGAACAGGTTGCTGTTTAGTTTGAGGTTAAAGTAACTAAGATGCAGTTGGGGGGGGGGGAGTTTGTTCTTGGCAGAATGGACCCCTGTTCGCATGTTCTTCGGTGAACCTTGAAACCCGTTGTGGTGCTCATTACCAGCCTTATGAGCGTAGGGTGTTTTTCTCCCCTTGCAGTAATTTAGCACTTTGGCTGTTGATGTGGAATGAATCAAGAGTCAGTCTGGTGTAGTGGCTATAATGTTGGATCAGGAGATCCAAGGTTGGAATCCCTGGTCTAGGTGGAAACCTCTTGGGCTAGTTGCTCTCTCTCTCTCTCTCTCTTTTACTTACTTCACGGGGTTCTTGCAAGGGTAAATTGGAGGAGGAGAGAATAATATAAGCTTTTGTGTCCCCATTAGGGAGAAAAGCAGGGTATGAATGAATTGTAGAGGTAAAAGTGCTAGAAATGTTTAACCCATGGAAATTGCCCCCACCCCCACCCGGAGAGGGGTTGGGGGGAATTTTGGTTAGAAATTGAAGTATATGTATTTGGTTTAGGTTTGATAAGAAAGTAACTGTTTTGCTGCTTAAGCAACATAAAACTTGATTTATAACTTTGTTATATAAAATGGTATCAATATATTTATGGATTTTAAAAGTGCACATTTTTTCGTTTTCTACAAGAAAAATTGCAAATACCCCCAATACTAAAGTGAGAATTGTAAACTTTTGCATTCTGTGTTGTCTTAACACGTTTTACTCATAGGGTTTTTTAGCTCTCCCAATTTTTGAAGGGAAAAATAATGCTATACATTTTGAGTCAGTAAAAGCATTTTGTTCATTTGAATAGACCAAGTTTCTTAATTTTTTGGGGAAAGGAGGGGGGAATAGTCAGACTTTCATGTGTTAACACATTTCAAGTGAAGACATTACACATTTCAAGTGAAGACAATGTGGTTTTAAAAAGGATTTTACTTATTTGAAAGAAAAATATTTCATAGGATTTTTTTTTCAGCACTCCAGTTTTCATGTTTTGGGGGCCTTTGCATCTGTACACTGAAGGGACATCTCCTTTCTTCAGGTACTGC